CCTGAGGAGTCTGGTCTAACTCCTGGTAGCTGGTGTCTGAAGTCACTGGTAATGATCCATAGTCAAGAAAAAAAGTTAATAATAAACATCCCTCAAAATGACCAAACCATCAGAGATGGAGAACATCCTTCCTTCACTACACCCCATTATACAATGCACTTTTAAACTCATTTTTGCTAATTAGAAAACAGCACTGTATAATTTTAACTAATATTACTACCATAATGAGTAAAGTTGAGCATCTCATCATATATTTAAGAATTGTATGTATTTCCTTTTTTTCTGAACTCTTTACAAGGTCTGCCCATGTTCCAACCATCCATGTTGTTGTTTTCTTACTGATTTGCACATGTTCTTTAAACTTAAGTGAAGTCATCATGGTAAGATAAAGAGTATTTCTATGATTTCTCATTTAACTCATGGCTTCATATATAGTATTTTTTCTAGGCTGAACTTCTGAATTTTTATGTATGAACTTATTAATCATTACTTTTATAGCTTCTTGGTTTTGTATCATATTTGAATAGGCTTTCCTGACATGAGATCATGTGCAAAAAAAATCTCTACTTTTTCCCCCTAGTACTTTTAGCATTTTTTCATTTTAAATTTTGATCCATCTAGAATTAATTTATTTATAGTACACAAAGTATAGATCCATCTTTATTTCCTTTTCAAGTGACTACTTACTTGTCCTGCTGCCATATATGCAAGGTAATATTTTCTTCTGCAGTAGTAATAAGTTAATACTAAGCAGATAGATCCAGTCACTGACTAGAGAGTATGTTACAAAAGAGAAACAATATTAACATACTGCACCTCATACTCTGACTCCAATGACACTTTATTCATTTTCAGTTTTTTTTCCAATTCAGGATCAATCTGTATAAAAAAAATAAAAAAAAAAGCAGCCAAATAAGTTATTTAAATCTGTTAAATTCAATCTTCAATTTTAAAACTTATAGGAGAAATGTCTCGGATAGTGTGGCAGATTAGAAATACAGGGTGAGATCTCTACCATCTACTCTAATCATATGATAACCAATGTACTACCACCACCACTACTACAACAAAAAGCAGTTAACATTTATGAAGCACTTGTTATGTGCCAGTAATTTTGACGCATTATCTCACTGAATCCTTACAACCACTGAAGTTGGGTATTATCCCTATTACCAGCAGAGCTATCTTAATGATATGGATGGACTAAAACTTTTAGGACCTTCATTTGCTGATACAGCGCGCAACTCAAAATAAGAAGAAACAGATACAAACATCCATTAAAAATAAGAATGTGGAATGTAAGAAATATGAATCTAGGAATATTGGGAATTGTCAAAAATGAAAGGGAACACATTAAGACTAATATCCTTGGCATTAGTGTGCTGAAATAGACTGGTATTGGCCATTCTGAATCAGAAAATCATGGTCTTCTATGCCAGGAATGACAAATTAAAGAGGAATGGCATCAACGTTCATCATCAAAAAGTACATTTCAAGATCTATCCTGAAGCACAATGCTGTCAGTGAAAGGATAATATCCATATGCTTACAAGAAAGACCAGGCAATACGACTATTATTCAAATTTATACACCAATGACTAAAGTCAAAGATGAAGAAATTGAAGATATTTACCTGCTTCTGCAGTCTGAAATTGACCAAACATGCAATCAAGATGTACTGATAATTACTAGTGATTAGCACGAGAAAGCTGGAAATAAGAAGTATCAATAATTGGAAAATATGGCCTCGGTAACAGGAATGACACTGGAAATCATATAATATAATTTTGCAAGAGCTCTGGTAGCATAGTGCCTAAGGCACTTGACTGCTAACCAGGAGGCTGGCAGTTCAACCCCACCAGCCACTCCTTGGAAGAAAGATGGGGCAATCTACTTCCATAGTGATACTGCCTTGGAAACCCAAGGAGGGGTCGCTGTGAGTCGGGTCTGACTCGACGACACACAACAACAACAACAACAACAACGTATTCATCACATATCCTTTTCAATGAAATACCACTACAACAACATAAATGTTGAATACACACATGGTCCTCACCAGCTGGAATACGGAGGAATAAAATCAACTACATGCGTGGAAAGAGACAATGAAGAGGTTCAATATCATCAGTCAGAATAAGGCCTAGGGCTGACCTCAAAACAGACCACTAATTGCTCATATGCAAACTCAAGCTGAAGCTGAAGAAAATAAACCAAGTCCACGAGAGCCCAAGTACAACCTTGAGTATATCCCAGCTGAATTTAGAGACCATTTCAAAAAGAGATTCGACATACTGAACACTAATGACTAATGATCAGACAAACTGTGGGATGACATCAAAGACATTATACATGAAAAAAGCAAAAAGGTCATTAAAAAGAGAGGAAAGAAAGAAAAGGCCAAAATGGATGTCAGAAGAGACTCTGAAACTTGCTCTTGAAAGTAGCAGCTAAAGCAATGGAAAAAATGATAAAACAGAAGATTCTAAAGAGCAGCTCCAGAAGTCAAAGTATTATATTGAAATATACAAAGATCTAGAGTTAGGAAACTAAAGTGTAAGAACATGCATGGCAATTCTCAAGCTGAAAGAACTTAAAAAATTCAACCCTTGAGTTGCAATGTTGAAGGATTTTATGGGAAGCATTAAAAGAGCTGAAGGAATACACAGAATCACTGTGCCAAAAAGAATTGGCTGATATTCAACCATTTCAGGGATACCATATGATCAAGAACCAACGGTATTGAAGAATGATGTTCCTGGTGCACTGAAAGCACTGGTGAAAAACAAGCTCCAGGAATTGATGGAATACCAGTTGAGATGTTTCAACAAACGGATGCAATGCTGGCAGCGTGCACTTGTGTATGCCAAGAAATTTGAAGTCAATTACCTGGCCAACCAACTGGAGGAGATCCATATTTGTGCCCATTCTGAAGAAATGTGATCCAACAGAACGCAGAAATTATCGAACAGTATCATTAATATCTTACTCAAGTATAGTTTTGCTGAAGATAATTCAAAAATAGTTGTAACAGTACATTGACAGGGAACTGCCAGAAATTCAAGCCAGATTCAGAAGAGGATGCCATATGAGGAACATCACTGCTGATATCAGATGGATCCTGGCTAAAAACAGAAAATACCAAAAAGATGTTTACTTGTGTTTTACTGACTGTGCAAAGGCATTTGACTGGGTGGAACATATGAAATTATGGATAACACTGCAAAGAATAGAATTCCAGAACACTTAATTATACTCACACAGAATCTGTACATAGACCAAAAGGCAGTTGTTCAAACAGAACAAGGAGATACACTACGTGGTTTAAAATTGAAAAGGTGGGTGTCAGGGTTGTATCCTTTTATCACTCTTATTCAATCTGTATGCTAAGCATATAATCTGAGAAGCTGGACTGTATGAAGAACACCACAGTATCAGGATTGGAGGTAATGGTGTTGCCCATTGCCCATCACAATGCCCACCTTGGGGTTGCAAAAACGATACATATCAAAAAAAAAAAAAAAACCTAGGGGTCAGGGAAAATCAACAGATAGCAATATTTACAATGGGCAAAATAAAATTCAAGGAAAACAGCATAAAAAAATAACATTTTACATTGATAAATGGAACAAATAGACTTTTTATAAAATGTTATGTGACAACATTGCTTTGAAACCTACACTGCAAAAATTGGATAGAAATACAAAGGGAAATAAATATATAAAACAGTAGAAGAATTTCACATACTTCTCTCAAAAATTAATAGAGCAAGCAGACCACAAATAAAACTGCAGAGATGAGAAAAATAATTAACAAGCTTTTTCTAATAGGTATATATAGAATCTTACACCTAGCAAATTTAGCTTGCCACTCTTTTCCTCCTGTATATACTGACACAGTGGCTGTAAGAATGCGTTCAAACATAGCACCAACTGTGAGGATAGTATGAGACTGGGCAACATTTTATTCTGTTATACATAATGTTGCTATGAAACAGAGTCAAATTAATAGCACCTAACAATACACTGACATTTATGAAAATTAATCTTGTTCTATTGCATAAAGGAAAACTTGGTAAATTCACATGTAAAAATATTGTCATACATACTATATTCCCTGACTATGATCAATAAAATTTAAAATCATTAACTGATATATTTGGAAACTAAAAATTTTTTTAAATAAATTAGAAGAAATCAAAATGGAATTACAAACTATTAAGAAGTCAAGGTCTACCTTGCAGAACTGCCTTTTTCATTCTAATCAGTTTAAGTTAATCTTCAGTTTCATTGGTAGACATTCCATCTGCACATGGTGACTACTTCATCTCTTTCTTTCCAAAATATATATACTACAGTAAAACTGTGAAAACTGGAACCTGGTTAAGGAGGAAACTTATCAAAGAAGGAAAACTCATAGTATTTTCCACTAACAGAGAGCAATAAAAAAGTGTTAACATTGCACCCTGTCAAAGGCAGACCTGGAAAAACAAGGCAGTTCCATCAAGTCCTGGCTTTCACAGGTTTCACTATACTTAGTTCTTTTTGCTGTTTGAATATATGGGGTATGACGTCCAGGATAGTATTAAAAAGCAATGGATATTCTTTTCTTGTTCCTCATTTTAATGAGAATGCTTCAAGTGTTTCTCTATTATGAACGATATTTGCATGGTCATCTGATTTTCAGTAAAGGTGCTAAGTCCTTTCAATGGGGGAAGGTAGAGTCTCTTTAATAAACACTGGGAAAATGAATCAGGGTCCATGCCTCACACCATATACAGAACCAATCAAAATGGAGCAAAGATCTAAATATGTGTTAAAACAGAAATCGTATTAAGTCAACAACAGAAACTGAATGAAATTTATTTAACATCTCATGTGCAATCAGTGTAACATTCTGACTACCCAAAACAAAACAAAACCCACTGAGTCAACCGCAACTCACAGTGACACTGTAAGAGTAAAACTGCCCCATAAGTTGTCCAAGCTGTAAATCTTTATGGAAGCAGACTGCCTCATCTTTCGCCTGTGGAGTGGCTGGGGTTCAAACCACTGATTTTTTGCTTAGCAGCCTAATGCCTTACATTTTAACTGAAAGCCTTCTGGTTAGCAGTCAAATGTCTTTGGTACTACGCCATCAGAGCTCCCATATTTTGACTAAACAGTCAAAAATGTTCTGAAGATGAGAGAACCTCTAAAGACTTTTATATCCCATCTTTTCAGCATTGCCATGGAAAAAAGGCCAGAACAGAATGATAAACAATTTGTGGTCAGGAAAGATTTCATGCAACGTTGTCTTAAACAGTTAAAATAATGATTTATTTACCTTAAAACAGAGCTCCAGACTGGTATTTGGAGTCTTGTTTCCTGAAACTGATTGAATTCTTCAAAAGCGCACAATGCCCAAGGCAAAATGGTCTTATTAGTTTATCTATACCAATGTTTAACTCAAAAGTGACTTTTAGAAACCAGTTTCTTCAAAGGCTCAAGTTTCAAGAGGATATCTAATGGGCCTTGGTGAGTTACCCCAACTCCATGGATCCCAGAAATCTAGATTCCAGGAGAATTGAAACTTTCTCATGTAAAAACTGAAACTAATACTCTTAGAGGAAACTATAGGGGTATGACTGTGGGACCTACTTTTTAAGAATGGATTATCAGATAACATAACAAAAGCAAGAGGAGTAAAAGACAAAACAGATCAATAGGATCTCACAAAAATTAAACACTCCTGTTCATCAAAGGACTTTATTAATAGAGCAAAAAGACGACCTTCAGACTGGGATAAAATTTTCAAGAACCGTATCTGGTAACAGTCTAAAATCCAAAATATATTTGAAAACAACTACAACATAACAAAAACCAAACAACCTAATCAAT